AGGACAATAAAAGAGGCACTGTCAACTAGTACACTATCCGGAGGTAGCTCATTCCATTCCTATATAGTTCGCGGAAGAAAAAAAAAACACTATGTAGTTAGATCGACATTTTATTTACGTATTTTATTTTCATGATCCCTCCTGCTCCAATATATAGTGGGGAATTTGAAGATAATTTGATTTGTTGATTCCAGTTGAATAATTATTAATAGCGTAGATATGTTCGTCTTTTTTTTCTGCGCCTTTTTTAAAAAGATACGAAACCCTTACAAGCCTTCATCACTGTGACGCTTACTGCTCGAGAATAGTTTTTTCTTAATCTAACAGCACGATTTTGAATGCCAGCTATCTTATTTATGATATATTTTTGACGCGGGTCCCATGCTGCGCTTGAATATTTGAGGTGTGGTCTAACTTGTGAATGATACGCAGATTATTTTAAAATTTGAGGAGCAATGCGAAGGATGTGGATGTCTAGGCTAAGGGCCTTGCCATCCTTTTTCAAGATCATATCTATGTGTTGATTGAATGGAGGTTTTCTGAAAAAATGACACTGATATATTTATTTTCGGATACTTTTCGCAACGAGTCTCTTCCAATAGATTACGCGGAATCATTATCCTGTTTCTGTATACCAAATGTAATGTAAAACCATTTACCTATGTTTAACTCCAGTTCACAGGTTTTTCACCAAGAACTAACCCGTTTGAGGTACTCCTGCAGAAACGACACGTCATTAACATTCTTCATCGCTCGTTAAATTAGGCTATCGTCCGCGAATAACCTGATGCCACAACATATGATAGACGCTAAATCATTGATGTAGATTAGAAAAAAAAAGGTGGTCCAAAAACCGAAACTCGAGTTACCCGAAGTTACGTCTACAAATTTGAATTTCTCACACCCCAGGACAGCGCACTGTTTCCTCCCACACTGACAGCCTTCCATCCACCGAGGTGAATGGAACTCTCTATGTTTAGAGCGCTCATTTGGTGCAGCAACAATTGCCGTAAAACAGAATCATATGTTTGACGAGAATCTATAAAAACTGCATAAATTTGCTCCCTATTTTCAGTCGTACTGGACAAATCCTGAAAAAGCTAAATTAATTGGGTGTTGCAGGATACTCCTCTACGAAAGTCATGTTCTTTAGGAGAAAATATGTATTATAATATGACTGCTTAATTATACTGCTACACACAGTACGTCCAAATATTTCTGCCTAAAACCTGAAAAGAAAAAAACTGTAAATGCCGAAAATCGTAAACTGAAATCTCTTTAAAGGTTTTGTTAACGTCTGAAAGCAGAATAGAACGGTTTGTACGACATCGAGGGGTTTCTCTTCCACAGACAGTCACGGTTTTTAGCCGTTCATGCTGGTTTTTTCGCACGTTGTTTTCGTGTGATAGTGCCCTTCCACGGCGAACAATCCATGATTTTCAGAGTTGCACGCTGTCATCGTTATTACTTGTGACCTATATAAGAACTAGTCTTCTATAAGGTAACAAACTGGGTGTGTTGGTAAATGATATACATGATGAAAACAGCTCAAACGAAGAAGACGGAGTCAAGAAAACAAACACGACTGGACGAAGCTGTTCTCGCAGCTAAAGTCTTAGTGGTAAAAAAAAAAAGAAAACAGCGTACCGGACACTGATTACATGAACAAACAACAATTTTCGGAGCAGAAACGGTTCGCACATCGCTATTCATATTAGCTTGCGAGAACAAACCTGTTTATCTGACAGACATACAGACGGCGCACAGCTAAGCTGTTAATAAATTACAGAACTACCGCGGTCGTCCACCAACGGGATCGGGTGAAAATCCGAAGCTTCATATCGGCCAGCCACCTTCATATGTTCATCTTTAGAAAGCCTGAACAAGCGCATACACTCGAAGTTGGAATAGGTGTCGGTAACCTTCTCGTAGTACATGGGACCCTGTTCCTGTCACTCTGTGACGAAACAATGGAGGCAAGGGCGATGATGTCGTCGAGCTCTTCGTCGTTCTCGTCCTCGATGGCTACCGCAGCCGCAGGTAGGTTCTGACGGGACATCGTCGTCTTAATTTCGCAAAGGTATCCGGGGGTATATGGTCAGTGAAATGTCTATGAAACCAATATCGCAGCACGAAAGCAGACGATAACTATTAAAAATGCAGACATGTTTTATTGCAAGCTGCACGCAGTTTTTTAATAGTGTTTAGTGTAAAAAAACATGCATGTAAAATATTTTGTTAAAGGAACTATTATAAAATAAACGCAAATGCTCTCATCCAAGCGCTAGCTGACGAAATGCCATGGCGAAACACTAGACGGCAAGAGCAGACGATGCCTTGCGTATCCGTTTTATCGGCACTTCGGAAGTCGATCACAGCCCCAGTCCTAACGCGGTGGCTGCACTGGTTCTGCGCCGTCGCTGCACGAACCCTACACTCCTCTGAACTCGGACAGAACTAGTTCTGAGCTTCCTGGCCGAATCGAACAGACCTATTGAATCTGTAAACACAATTCCTCCTCACCACCCCACTCTCCTCACGACGTCATGCATGGCGCTGACAAACGGACGGACGGACGGACTGACACCGGTGGGCTTTCGAGAAAACGAGCGTTCTAATGATAATGCATTAAAAATCTTAATGACCACTCAGTTTTCAGAAATATCCCGAATAGTGAACGAGCTGGATAATAACATCGGTGAAGTTATATGTATATGTTACGGACAGTTCGTTTGAACACAAAACGTGCACTGAAGCAACTTCTACACCGTCAGAAATCCTTGAAACGTCTGCTGCACTCCATTTGGACGTCGATGCACTTCACATCGTCGTCGCACCTTATTCAGGTCCAGAGTGTTTTCACCTTCTCATATATTGGGGAAGCGAACTTCACGAACAGGTGTCCGCACGCTCGCACATCTCGAGGGTCGGTTGAGTTGTTCACGGCCACTCTTCGCTTCCAAATTCCACGGAAGTTGGTCCCCGAGAATTTAAGTTTCTTCGTTCGTCACCAACTCAATAAAACGCAGTCAGTTACTCCCTCAGAACTAACCACTGAACCGGCGACGTCATCGTGTCGTATCCTAGCAAAGCAAAACCGGTTGTGAAACTTTATTACGGGCCTTTATGATCGCTTTGTTGTAGTGAGACGATAGAAAAAGTCTTAATGATTAGGTATTGCGAAAACGACAGGTTTACAAAAAAAAGCGTTTTTTTAAAGATGTCTATGTTATAGACGCTCGCTAAAAGAGCAATTGCCGCCAGAAATACATGCATATATACATAGATGATTTTTAACCTCACGTCAGTCACCCGCGCATTTGTCCATAACAGCGGTCTAGCAAAGGTTTGGAGCACAGCGTCATGTTGTGATGCCATCACTCACGGGGTCAAGTAGCAAAAGTTGATACTCCACTACGTATGGGCCATTTATATTATTTTCTCGAAATGAGTGCTCCTTGTTGCCACGGCCTTCCTTGACTCCGTCCTGGAGTTGGCCTTCACCTGTCGCCAACGGCAGCAAAGCCTATGGTCGCGTTGGGCCGCGGCAGAAGCCAACGACGCTAGGCAGAGCCGCGCTTAGATCCCCGAGACCAACCCTTGATACATAAGGCGGGTGGTGGCCTTCGCTGAGGTCTCTAAACACAATAAAAGAACGTCTTTCGGAAGCCCTCGCAAGAAGAAACACCACCGTGCGCTCGTGTGTGTTTGTCGGTCGGTGTTGTGTTCCGATTCGAGAGGCAAGAGCGTCGACACCTTGCGCCAGACACTGGAGCATGGCAGGAGGAGCTAGGGGTTGCATCATCCGCGCCTTGCTGAAAGACAATAGGGCATTTGTATGAGCCGCCCCGCACCTCGAACACCACGTGAACATTCGAACTCATGCGAAGTCTTCTGCATCTCAGAGGGCCTTCTGGAGCGGAAAGAGCGTTGACACCTCGCTGAAAGAACACAAGGTAATTGCATCAGCCGCCCAGCACCTCGAACATCACGAGAACATTTGAACTCAGGCGAAGCCTTCTCTCTCTCCGAGGGCATTCTCGCCCTCGAAGGCCTAATTAACACGGGCTCAGGGAGCCCGAAGACGGCGATTAAAATGTCAACCATGCTACCTGTAAATTCACTATACATAGAAGTTATACTTCAGTAATCCTAATCCAGGTAAATCTCCTCGGGGCTACGCGATCAGCTAGCCACAGCGCCGACTCCTGGTTCCGCACCTAAAATCGTCGCCTCCCAGACGCAACATCCTGTGAGCATGGCGAAAACCTATGGCGTTCGGGATCAAATAGTATATTGTTTTAAGCAGCCCATACACGATTGCACAGAGATTTACCGACCAAGAAACGTCTTTCACTTATTGCGGTTACTTTAAGGAGGACCAGAATACTCCCGGAGTACTTGGTCCAACCGGTCAGTTTTCAAATGGTTCATATATGATTTTTAAAAATAAATAATTGAGCATGTTTCTTTTCTATGATAAAATGAATTACACAGAAAGTGAGGGGAATTTGTTCATACTTCTCCAGTTTTTTGTGATTATATTTTTCTGCTCCAGTTCAAGGAGTTACTTTCCGTGCAGGCTTAAGTCCTGTAAACCTGGTGGGACGCAGACCCTTATAAACGGCTGGCATAAAACATGGGACGCAGATGACGAAAAATTCATGCTTTCATCCGGTACAACGGTTGAGCAACGACAAAACCGATTCATAACGTCCGAGGCCAGGTTGACATCCGGTTCATAGCACGGAAAATGCACCGCAAGCTGCCGGAGGGGAAGAGCATATGTATCACATGGAGAATCCCGTGTGCACATTTGTCGGAGCCCGTACCACTTGCGCCTCACAGTTTCACTCAGCCCACCCTGCTTGTTCGTGTGCCTCTACTGATACACAGCAGCGTCCCGAGTTTGCGCGTTACCATCGCCGCTGCCTTGACTCTCCACATTAGACTCCAATTGTTCTGCATTCCCTGCGCTTAGTGCCCGACGTCTTGTTGAAATGGGATCGAAGGGAAATGAAATGGTCGGGGCGAAGGGTTCTGGCGACAGCCCCGGCAAAAAGACTGCATTTTGGGGCACGAAGTTCCTTATCGTCGTGACGGGCGCAAGCGGAGGCCTTGGAAGAGGTATAGCGGTCAGCTTTGCCGAACACGTCGCGGATGGATCGCTCCTCGTCATCACGGGTCGCAACACGGCCGGGCTCGAGGAAACAAAGCGGATGATCGTAACCCTGGGACGCGCCGTCAGCGTGAGCGTCGAGACCTGCGATCACTCCAGGGCACTTTTCCGGGACTACCAGGACCTTCTGGAACGAGCGTCGGCCAAACTCCCGGACCCGGACAGGGTCGTGCTCGTGCACAACGCCGCTAGTATACATAGCTACTCCGACTACGTCGTCTCGTACGACAACGAGAGACAGATCGGTGACTACTACCGCTTGAACCTCACGTCCGTCATGACGCTGACTTCGGCGTTCCTCCGTCACTACAACTCTGACTCGGGCCCGATGCGAACGATCGTCAACGTCGCCTCCACTGCGGAAATCGAGGCAATACAGGGACTCGGCTTATACTGCACAGGTCAGTATTTGCACGGTCTCTGAAATTCTAATGCTTGGGTTTTTCTAGACACCCTTATATTTAATATTGGGATAGCCGGATGAAATAAACCGGGTCATCCTAGAGTGGCAAGGATTCTGGAAAGTATTTATCACTACAGTCAATGGAAGTTTAAGTAGACACTGTACTTGCCTTAATATGGTCATAGTGCTATTTGCTTCGGGACTCTTTGCTTAGTGTCTTTATGGTTAATACCGCTACTTCATTGGATACAGAGCGATGATCAGATGCACGGACCCACTAAGCCTTGTGTTTTTTAAGCTGTCAATAAGTGTAATGAATGAGAGAAGGACTAAAGATTTTGTTTTACTATTTTTCAAAAATTATTATTATTTTTTTTTTTTTTTTTTTTTTTTGCGGCAAACATTTAGCCGGGATTGCAGAGCGGCGTTTGAACGGCTTGTTTGAGCTGCGATGGATCTGTAAGATTGGAGTGCATACATTAAATTCTGGACGAATTATGAAGTCAATGTTATCGAGTGTTGCGTTGTTGCAATAACAGGCTTAAGTAGAGCTAGCTGTTACATAATACAGGGAGATCAGCTTGAATATTATACAAACACAGAGTGGGAACGAAGATACACACAGCTGACTATCATCTGTTACTTCAACACTTCCTAACATGTATAAATATATATATAATGGGAATGAGTGAAGATTCACAAGTGAAGTCGTAGTAATATTGTGAACGAAGAGGGGAAAATGTGAGTATTCAATTTATTGCATTAAAGTTAGCGAAAGAAAAAGAGAGCTGGAGAAAAATTGGGCCAGGAGCGGGGATCGAACCCGCAACCCACACCTATCCGAGGCGACGCCTTAACCGATCAGACCATCCTGCCACTGATTTCGGTGGACTCCATTCATGATTACTTCTCTGTGTACCGTCAGCTTCCGATTCGCTTAACTGGGTAGCCGACAGCAGTTGCTCATTCAAGGCCCATGCTAGTTCCGAGTTGCGGCAGGAACGTGGCACGTCATTTCAGCTTGCAAATGTCGGAAAGGGCCCGTCTTCCAAGATATCTATGGCAGCACTCATCCCCACACGGACAGGCCGCACCGTATATATAATGGGAATGAGTTAAGATTGTGAAGTGCAGCCGTTGTAATATTGTGAACGAACGTTGCGGGTTCGAACCCCCTCCTGGCCCAATTTTTCGCCAGTTTCCCTAACTTTGATGCAATGAATTCAATATTCACTTCCTCCCTCTTCGTTCAGAATGTTTGTAATATATATATATATATATATATATATATAGAGAGAGAGAGAGAGAGAGAGAGAGAGAGAGAGACAGAGAGAGAGAGAGAGATGGCGCAACGAACGCTGCCAATGAACGAGCATACGGCGCCGAGAGCCGGCGTCTTAGCAGACAATCTTTTCGGCTCAAAAGCGGCGCGCGTTCCGCATGCGGCGACAGTCGCAGAAACAAAAACAGGCGCGGTAACGCCGAGGAACTGCTGTTCCTTGTCTGCTGAAAACGCCGGCTCTCGACGTCGTATGCTCGGTCGTTGGCGGCAGTTGGCGTCGCGACCGCTTGCGCCATCTCTTGTCTCCCGTGCGAAACGGTGCCGTGTTGTTTGAAGGCCGGTGACGTCGCTGCGTTTCCATAGGAGCTAAGCATTTTCTTTCTTTACTTTTTCCTCGGGTAAGTTCGCTTTTTGCAAATTTTACAAAAAAAAAAGGACCATCTGTGGGCAACGCTGCACAAAGTCGTACCGCGATAGGTTAAGAAACCGAATTTTCCGGTCGACTTAAAGAGCCTGGTGTCTCCTTGTATCACCCTGTATTTTAGAGCGCAGCTCTTAGGCGCCCGTTTCCGGCTTGAGCGGTGTCGCCGTCGCCGTCGGCGTAACCACGCGGTGCATTATGGGTAAATTTCCCCGCTAAACCTAGCGGAAAAATTTCCCCGCTATATCTAGCGGAAACATTTCCCCGCTAAATCTAGCGGAGAATTTTCCCCGCTAGATTTAGCGGAAAAATTTCCCCGTTAAATCTAGGGGAAAAATTTCCCCGCTAAATTTAGCAGAAAAACTTCCTCGCTCGATTTAGCGGAAAAATTTCTCCACTACATCTAGCGGAAAATTTCCCCGCTAAATTTAGCAGAAAAATTTCCCCGCTAAATCTAGCAAAAAAATTTCCCCGCTAAATATCGGAAAAATTTCCCCGCTAGATTTAGCGGAAAAAATTCCCCGCTAAATTTAACGCAAAAATTTCCCCGCTAAATCTAGCGGAAATATTTCGCCGCTAAATCTAGCGGAAAAATTTATCTGGGTGGTCACGTGACCTGGGGGGTCAGGCGACCCCCCTCCCGTCCTCCCCCGAGGTCACGTGAGACCCCGAGGTCACGGGAGCCCACGAGGTCACGTGAGCAGCCGAGGTCACGTGACCCCCGTGACCCCCCAAGGTCACGTGACAACACCCCAGGTCACATGACCCTCCCCCTTTTTAGTTTCTATATTCAGAGGGGTTTCAAAAAGGGTCTCCCATGCGCTACCAAAGGTTGTGGTGCTTTATTATAATCATTTCATCTATGTTGATGAGAGGGGGAGAGGGTAAAATGCAAGTTCTTTTCTTGACCTACATAAAGCTTTTCACTAAGGGTGTTAAAATTATTTTTATACAACCTGAACTCTTTAAAGATTGCCATAGTCAGTGACAGGACAAAACCTCAGGGCGAGGGAAAGGGAGGATGGGGAGGAGGAAGAAGGCTGGAGCGAGGGGTGTTTTTTTCATTTCCTCTAAAACATTCCATCTTCTCCCCAATCTTTCTTCCCACGCCCTGGGTTCTTAGCCTGTCACCGACTATATAACTTATGGCGAGGAGTTAAAGTTACTTATTGCAGAGAAAGTGCTGAGATAAGTGTTGCAGTATCGGATTTTATTGATGCGGCCTTTGGCGCAAATTTTGTAACATATTAAAGAATTGAATTTACTAACGACACAGCTTTAGACATTACCCGATTGCTGAGGCTGTTTATGGACGATCGTATTTGTTTATTATAGAGCAAAGCTCAACACATTAATGATGTTTCTATTCTATAATCAGTCCTAGATAAAATATTGGATTGGCATGAGGTTTGATAACAGAATTTAAACACTGGCCAGTGTATTCAAGTTTTATTTTGACCAAATGCAATCTTGTCCCAGCGTATTACTTAACTGATTATCATAAAGTTAAGAAAAGTACAGATGTCAAATATCTGTTAAACATCTTGGCAACTACTTCGTCACCGAGATTATTATAAAGATAAAACCCACCTTTGAATTTGCTCAATAAATTCTCACGTTGGGCACGTGGGAAAGCAGAAGAGACTGTTTCTTGCTACTTGGCAACACCTATGGTGTACATTTGTGATATCCTGTTCTGTGGGATCTACATCAGAAGTACGTTGTAAACATATTGAGAGAGCTTCAAAAGCTTTGCGGATACTTGTGTTTAGGGCCTTATAGCAAAAATGTCAGTTCAACAAAAATAAACAGATAAACACTTATTTGGATGCGAAACATCCAACAGAACTAAAACGAAGAAACTCTGGATTAAAGTTTTTTCGCAGTTTTCTTTTTATTACTTGCTATCTTTGGGGATTGGTAATAATACTACAATGTGCTTGTAATTACCATATCATGTCTCACTAGTGCGCATCATTCGAGAACGTTTAAGAAAATATTCTATCGTACAGATTACGAGATAATTTCAATTTTTCAACTTTGAATTGATTTAATAAAATGTGCTGCCCCAGTCTTACTTTATGTAATATTGACACAGGATAGTTTCTTTCCGACCGTGATCGGGATTTTAACGTGAAACCGTTCTTTCGCTAGATACTCATCATTTCGTGATGTCTGATATGTGAAGTCTGATCAAAGTTACAGCGAAGCTCGATGCTGATTGAATACCGGGTGAGGTCGCGCAACGAGTGAGGTAGGGGAGGATTGTAGTACATTTCAGACATGCAACACAATTGCCTAGAGACTTGCCATAATTTGTTTCCTTAATTTCATACTTTATAAGCACGCACTCTACCTGTGCCTTCTTTTGACATCCTTCACTGTATTTTCAACTGCATTTTGAATGACCTAATATTGTTTTTTCTTTGGCTGCACCTGATTCGTTGCTTTGGCGTGAAGCAACTGCTGGGACTCTGCGCTCAGCGCGGAGTCCCAGCACAGAGTATAATTAATTGCACGGTTTATGAGAGCTACAATCAAGCGACTGTCCGTCTTCAAACCTGCGATATTCCTGTGACGAAAAAAATTACGCCTAATGTAGATTTGTTGCATTGGAGCAGTACAGACTTCTCCCACCAAGCCTTGTCTCTTTTTTCGCTTTAGCAGAGCGAACGCTGGATAGGAGGCGAGAGGGCAAGAGGAAACCTTCAATCACGGCGAGCTGAGAGTGGTTTTGGGAAGTACATGTCAGGCTCTTTTAAACCTGCCATAAACTGTTGCTAGGGAAATCCGACCATAGAGGGCGATTAGTTTAGCTAGATTTCAGTGTTTCGTATTTTCCCAACACAAAGCCTGTTTATAATGCAATTACATGCAAAGGTGCAAGCGAGCTGGACAAGAATGACGTAAATAATCCCTGGAGAAGGGGAACAAGAGGGACAAAGAACAAACAGAAATTTCCAAACACAGCTACGTGACTGGTGCGCGACCGAAAAAATCCGCCTGGTCCGGTTGCACCTTTGCATTTAAGTGCATTATAATCATAACTTTAAAAATGTTAGTTTCATCCTTGTTGGTGTTAGACTGTTGGCAGCTGATGAAACCCGTTTGCTCTACTGACGTCTAACCCCTGGCTAGCTCAGTTGGTAGAGCGCTCCACGGGAAATAGAGTGGTCCCGGGTTCGATAATCGGACCAAGCGGATTTTTTCGGTCGCGCACCAGTCACCCATAGCTGTGTTTGTCCTTTGTTCCTCTTGATCCCCTTCTCCAAGGTTTATTTACGTCAGACAAGGC